CACTTAGCTTCAGTTTCCTCATCTGTAAAGTGCAGGTCATAACCTCTGCCTCACCTACCTCACACAAAGCTGTCTGAAGATCAAAGAAGACAGTGTGTGATTTGCTGTAAATTTACCAATGTACAAGATAATTAGGAAGATGACCTTGCTTGTCTGAGAACTATTTCATCCTATTAGGCTGCCATGCAGTTACCACAGACACCAGGACCAAATGAACTTTTCAAAATTCTGTTCATGGTGGTTTAGAAATATCTCCACAAATTCTTTTGACATTCCTCCCTTCAAAAATGGAAACTAATTTCCCTCCCCTTGTACTGATATGTGCGCTGGATTTAGTGTCTTGCTTCTAACATAGAGTTGCCAGGTAAATTACGTTATGCCCAATTAAATTTGGATTTCAGAAAAACAACAATTTTTTTTTTTTTTTTTTTTGCGGTACGCGGGCCTCTCACTGCCGTGGCCTCTCCCGTTGCGGAGCACAGGCTCCGGACACACAGGCTCAGCGGCCATGGCTCACGGGCCCAGCCGCTCCACGGCATGTGGGATCCTCCCGGACCGGGGCACGAACCCGTGTCCCCTGCACCAGCAGGCGGACTCTCAACCACTGCGCCACCAGGGAAGCCCAACAAGTAAATTTTTGCATAAGCATGTCCCAACTATTGCATGGGATGTACTTATACTTAAAAGCATATCCATTGTTTATCTGGAATTCAAATTTAACTGGGTATCCCGTTGTTTTTGTTTGTTTTACTAAAACTGGCAACTCTATTCTAATGAAGAGAATGAAAGTGACATAAGTAATGGTGTATGACCACCAAGACGAGGTCATAAAAGGCATCGGAGCTTCCACCTTGCTGTAGGTCACTGGCTCTGGGAGAAGCTGGGTGCCCTGGCATGAGGACACTCAGGCAGCCCTTCCTGCCAACGGCCAGCACCAGCTCCCAGGCCATCTTAGAAGTGGATGCCCCAGCCCCAGTGAAGCCTTAGATGACTGCAGCCCTGGCCAACCTCCTGGGAGACCCTGAGCCAGAACCACCAACTAATTTGCTCCTGAATTCCTGACCCGACACTGTGTGGAACAGTAAATGATTGTTGTTTCAAGCTGCTATGTTTTGGATCCTCAGGCTCAGTCCTGGCTGGCACTGTGGTCCCTACAGAATGTCCCCCACTTCTACGGGACTCTGAGCTTCGATCACTAGATCCCACTTGACCACCTTATTTCAGACCAATCAAGTGCCCAGGGCAAGTATCTATGAAAGCTTTTTTATAAAAAGTAATTGCACACAGGAAGTCTATGTGTTAAAAGAAGATGAACTTTTGAGGGAGAAGAGAAGGGAAAAGGGACTAATACTTGTCAGAGGTCCTGTAAGGACCTTTACCTTCATCAGAAGGAGATACTCAGGCCCTGGGGCCCAGTTCCGCTGATTCCCAGCTGCCTGGTTTGGGGAGGTTATTTAATCTCTCAAAGCCCTCATTTTATCTGTGAATACAAGCATAGTAATACCTATTTGCAGGACTTTTTTGATGATTAGAAACATTGAAAATATTGTTTATTAAGAGATTAGGATGTGCTGAGCCATATTGCCCTTAGTATTTAATCCTCAGAACAGCCCTTTGAGATGGGTCTGTCCTTCTCCCCATTTTACACATTAGGAGACTGAGGCCCACAAAAGTTACATGATGCCCACAGCAGGAGGAAAGACATGCAGGGTCGCCTGAAACAACTGAGAATGGGTGAACCCAGGGAAAGCTACACCCCTTCTGTTGCCCTTCCCTGCGTTTTTTTTTTTTTTTTTTACATTTATTTATTTATTTATTTGGCTGCGTCGGGTCTTAGTTGCGACACACGGGATCTAGTTACCTGACCAGGGATCGAACCCGGGCCCCCTGCAGTGGGAGTGCGGAGTCTTAGCCACTGGACCACCAGGGAAGTCCCCCTGTGTCTTATTTGAAATCTCTTCTCTCTCTCTCCCAGATACACAAACACACACACACACACAAATGGATGTGGCAATCACACTGGCTGCAGCCCAAAGTGGCTTGCTAAACCCACGATTCCTTTTTTCTTTTTCCACCAAAGAAGAGACATAATGGAAACTATCTCCAGTGAGAAAGTGGAGAAGGAACAAGTTTATTCCAGGGCAGTACTTGAAAATTCCCGCGTGGAGCAGCCTAAGAGGAAAGGGGCCTCTCTTACAAAGTTGTAGAGAAAGTATGAACTGAACAACCCCCTCTAATGGCAACCTGGCGGTAACTATCAACATTTTCAGTGCACGTAACCTTTGCCTGAGCGATACCATTTCTGGGAATCTATTCCACAGAAATTTTACTGGAAGAGCACAAAGATACATAAACCAAGAGACTCGCTGATGTACTGTTTGTGATGTGAAAAACAAACAGTCTGCACGTCTAGCCATAAGCAAATACTGATATATCTGAGCTGCGGAAAACCAAAGGGCTGTTAGAAAGAGCAAGGTAGATTGAAGGGACGGACATTGAAAGACTCCATGATTATATGGGGAAAAAAAGCAAGTTATGAAATAAGATTTAACTTACTATTTAACTAATGTGAATTTACTTATTTAACTAATGTGAAATTGGCAGGGGATGCACACAACACAAAATGCAAGAGTCAATAATGTAAATCATATTAGCAATTCTGCACACTAATCCACCCAACAGTCCTGGGCCTCACGGGGCATCGGCAACCTGGGCCTCCTCCCATGTGTCTCCCAGCATTGAGCTTCTCTGGGCTGAGTGTAGTTTCCAGCGTTAAGAAAAACAGGTACTCCTTACACCACAGGGCCCCTGAACGCAAGCCAACTACTTACGCTGGTGCTCAAGAGAAACAGCAGCCCGTTGAAGCTGTGCTAAAAGACAGATTGTCAGTCTCCAACAGAGAATCTTCCAAAGGGCAACTCTTCCCCTTTCCTTCCCCCTTTCCCTGAACAGTTCAGTCATAAAGCCATTAGCTGGCACAGAGCAAGGTAGGTGCCTGCAGTGGCAGCAAAAGAGGAGCAAGGGGCTCAAAGTAGAAAATCAATCAATACCCACACAGGACAAACAGGGCGCCCACAAAGTGTGTGTGTGCGTAAGCATTTGGTGCGGGGCGTCAGAGTCCTAGCTTACAAGGAAAGTGGCCATGCAGGGGGACAGGCCAGCAAAGAAGTCAGAGCCTAAATGAGGTGAGGGGGATGTCTGCCCCCGGGAGCAGCCTGGAGCAGGTATCGGAGCTGTACAAAGTGAGGACAGTGCCCAAGGGGTAAGGGATGGTGAAAGATGTCAGGACCCAAGCAAGGAAAAAGGATGCCAGCACATGGCAGGGGGTAGAAACCAGAGATTACTTACATATGAGAGGACTGATCAAATAAGAAAATAGAGTAAGTATAGAGGTAGTCAGGGTTTCCACAGTCAGAGAAGAGAGTTACAAATATGGGGAGGGAAGAAACTAGAATTAAACTTATGGTTTGGGATTGGAATTGAAGGTATCAGTCTGAACTCATGGTTTTCAATATAGAGAGAGATAGAAATATAGATGTATGTGTACATGTATATTCCCTAGCTCTATCCCTGGTCAGGGCACTAAGATCCTGCAAGCCACATGGTGTGGCCAAAAAAAAAAAAATAGTTCTTTGTACTATTCTTGAAACACTTTTATATGTGTGTGTGATAGATTTTTTTAAAAAGACAGAATAGCTATGGGTATGTGCGTGCATATACAAAGAAAACTGACTGGAAAAATCTAGATGGATACAAAAGTTAACTGTGACTACCTCTAATATGTGGGATTGTTTGAGGAGGGAAGGAGGTAGACAACATTTATTTGGGGGCTATACTGTTTAATTCATGAATAGGTATTATTTTCATACTAAGATTCTTTTTTTTAAGAGATCATTACCTCTATTTTTTATTATTTATTTTTTTATTTATGGTTGCACCAGGTCTTAGTTGCTGCACGTGGACTCCTTAGTTGCGGCTCCAGGGCTCCGTAGTTGTGGCTCACCAGCTCCTTAGTTGTGGCATGTGGGGTCCTTAGTTGCGGCACGTGGGCTCCTTAGTTGTGGCATGCAAACTCTTAGTTGCAGCATGCATGTGGAATCTAGTTCCCTGACCAGGGATCGAACCTGGGCCCCCTGCATTGGGAGCACAGAGTCTTATCCACTGCACCACGAAGGAAGTCCCTAAGATTCTTTTTTAAGAAACAGGAAAAAGATCTTTGTAAAAGACAGCAGGAGACTGACTGTTGGCTTCTTGGCAGAGGCAGTGGGCAGAGGCTGAGGGCTGAGGCCGAGATTCAACGATGAGACAAGGACATATTACCTCTACAGCAGCCACAGGCCTCTCCACAGAGCTACCAAGAAATTTTAAAATCAAACCTGCACTGAGGTGAAGAGAATAAAGGTAATTTCCTGTTGCCTGCGAAGGCGTACTGACATCTACAGCACTTCCCAGCCGAGGTTTTCAACCTCCAATCACCATTTGCTTTTCAGTTTTGAAAAGGTTAGCATTTCTGTTTCTTTAGTTAATGACTAGACCTCTTGAGCCCCTTGTCTAGTGTCTTCAAGCACCTCGAGAACCTGCCTGCCCAATGGCCCACAAGTCACAGATTTTTAAATAAGGGGGATAACAAGCCCATTTTCTGAACTATGTCTCTCCAAAATTGCCATGTTAAAATCCAGACTGGCAGTATCTCAAAATGTGACCTTGTTTGGAGACAGGGCCTTTACAGAAGTAATCAAGTTAAAATGACCAGCATGACCAGTGTCCCTCTGCGCACAGAGGGAAGACCGGGTGCAGACATGGAGAGGATGGCCATCCACAGCCCTATTCTTGCAACTTTTATCTAAGTTTGAAATATTTTCAAAATACAGTTAAAATTTTAAATAAAAATAAAGATAGAATGAAAGAGAGTCAAGCTCCTGGGAAGCCCACTACAGATCCCGGGGGAGCAGAGGCCTGGAAGGACCTACAGGATCTGGGCAAGAGGGCTGGGATTTAAATCCAGTTTTTAAATGACTTTATTTTACCGTGATTTCCCCTCCAAATGTCTAATGTCCATGTAATATTAAAGGATCCTGGGATTTGAATCTAGAAAGAATCATGGATGCAGTTCCTGTCCAACAAGTGGTTGAACAAAGCCTTGCATTGCTTCTGGTGACCCTCATGCTTGGCTTTCACAGCCCAGCCGGTGGAGGGGCCCCTGTGGTTTGGGGATGTGGTCTCCTCTCTCCGTCAGCCACAAAGGCTCGCTTGACTTAGCGGGACGGTTCCAGATCAGGCTTCCCACCGACCCATCCTCGCCTCCGATGATCTGCTCCAATGGCATCTGTGACTCTGGTAAAACCCTGCTCCCTGCAGAAAGAAAACAAAGCAATTTCAGCAAATGGTAAAGGAAAGGCCTGGCTCTTACTGGAAGCCCACGCTCAACCAGGCTCTATCTCGTCCGTAACTGCACCTGCCTCGCTCTCCCAAACGCATGCTCATGCCCTGTACAGTGTCTTCACCCTGGAATCTACCCAGGTCTTCAGGCCAGGGAGGGAATCAATTTTAAGTACCGACAGCTCCTGACATCAAGCCAGTGTTACTGAATGCCACCAGAACTCCTCGGGCCTATGAACACCATTGCCTTGGAAGTTAATTGAATTCCTTGGCACTGTTTGACCTTTGTCAAAAGAGCAACAGGGTAAGTTTCCCCTGCATTTGGGGTGTACCCCTCAAATGCATTTTCAATGAAGAATAAAGACTGATGAATAGCATCCCCTTGATTTGAGTCATTCTGAGTTGATACCACATTAACTTTGCCTGGTTCAAGCCACAGGTGGCCCCACTCACTTCAAAAGGGCCTCCAGCTCCCGCTTGACTCTGCCCACCAGGGGCGGCCCCCGGTAGGTGAGGGCTGTGTACAGCTGCACCAGGGAGGCCCCCGCCCGGATCTTCTCCAGCGCGTCCTGCCCGCTGCTGACACCGCCAACCCCGATGATGGGAACTCTGCCTGCAGAGAAGCACACAGCACGCTGTGAGGAAGGCTGGGTGACAGGAGAGCCAGGAGCTGTTTGGCTGCAGCCCCGGCCCCCTGCTGAGTGCAGCAGTTCAGGAACCCCGATACCATCACAGACCCGGCGCCTGAGCCACACGTAGATCTGAAGTCAGGGACACCAGATTCTTGCCTTGGGTGAGTGCATACATCTCCCTGATGGTTTGCGTTGATAAATCTCGGAGGGGCTTCCCGCTCAGCCCTCCCATTTCAGAGCGCAGGGCCCCCTGGAGGCTGGCAGGGCGACTCACTGTGGTGTTCGTGACAATCAGTCCATCGATGCCCAACTGCAGTGTGAGACAGAGAAAGAGCCCCTAAGTCAGGGCACGATGGACTTGGAGAAGCTTCCCCGGGGGTCTGAGAGAGCAGCCAGGCCGGGCGCCCACACCTAAGGCCACAGAAGCAAGAGCTAGACCAGGCCTCACTCACTATGCTTTCTGGGCAAGTGTCAGAGTGAGCCTCAACATGATAGTGGCAGCCATCATGTACCAACCACCCGGACAGTTCCCCCAGGACACGGTTTAATCCTTAGAACAACTCAATCTAGAGTGTCCTGTCCAAAGCCTCCAGGTAGTAAGTGGCGGAATCAGGATTTCAACCCCGGACTGCCGGGCTCAGTCTGTGTTTGCGCTACTCCCCTATGACACACAAACCCAGGGTTAGACTGGAGAAAGACAGAACACTGCAGTCTGCCCAAGACTGAAGGATGCACAGCCTTAAAGCCCTTGCTGAAGGAAGAGGAGGGAAGAGGAGGGAAGAGGCAGGAGAAAATGACCCATTCAAACATTTATTGAAACCTTTACCTTTTACTTCAGGCGCACCTCATTTTATTGCACTTCACTTTATTGTGCTTCACAGGTACTGGGTTTTTTTTTTACAAGTTTCTGGCAACCCTGCACTGTCAGATGATGGTGAGCATATTTTCAGCAATAAAGTTTTTTTTTAATCTGGATTATTACACCTCAAATGTTTTAATAAAACAGAAAATAAGAATAAAGTATTTTTTAATTAAGGTATGTACATTTTTTTTAGATGTACTGCTATTGTGCACTGAACAGACTACAGCAGTGTAAACGTAACTTTTATATGCACTGGGAAATCAAAGCGTTCATGTGACTTGCTTTATTGCAGTGGTCTGGAACTGAACCCTTAATATCTCCAAGGTCTGCCTGTATACGATAAATTACATCCTGACAGCCCTCCATATAACAGAAAGGAAACCACAAAGACTGCCGTCCGGGCTAACCCAGCTGGCCAGGTGGCCTCTACAGGCAATGAAGGGCATCCCCCAGGCACCGACACTCACCTCTCTCACCACACTGGCAATATCCTCCTTGTCCTGGGCCGTGAGGTCAGGAGCGATCTTCACCAGCATGGCTGGCTTGTGCACTACCTTCAGGGCATCCCTCTCCTGCAGCACCTAGAGCAACATGGGGCCAGAGATGAGGACCCCCAAGACTGCAGTTGACAGTATAACCGTGACCTGCAGCCGCAGATCAGTGTGTTTTCACACTAGCTGTCAGAATAAAGCACCAGCAATTTCTCCTTTTCAGGAAACACCGCTCTCAATTATGCAAAAGACCCCATCAAGTCAGAGCTGATTCCACTCTCTTGAACCAAGAGATCCCCAAGAGTGAGTCCCTAATGTCATTGGCATTGGCTAATATATCAAGGTTTATTTAGACTTTTGTTCCTAAAAGAGACAGCAAATACTGTCACAAGCACGGTTTAATGAAAAGTCATTCTATTCATTCATTCAATGTGCTAGATGCTAGGGACAGGGTGGTAAATGAGAGATGTGGTCCCTGCTCTCACGGACCTTGTGGGTTAACAGCTGGGATACATAACTGAGCAGCTGACTAATACTGAGCACAATCAGTGTTATACCGGGAATCAGAGGGAAGCAAGGGGTCCTAACTGGTCCAGGTCTTAAGGACAACTGCTCGATAGTGGATAGCAACGTTGAAGCTTTGCCCTAGAGGATGAGCAGGTAGGACAGGCTGGTGGAGCGGGATGTAATTGCCCACCTTGGTCAGCAGGCGGCGCAGCTCGGCCTTTCCCTGAAGGCTCCTCAGCCCAGCTGTGTTGGGACTGGACACATTCACTACCAGGTAGTCAGCCAAGGGGCCCAGGACTCGAACCCCCTCTGCGTAGTCCGAGGCAGCGTCCATCGAGGTCTTATTCTTCCCCAGGTTTATTCCCAGTGGCAGCCCATCTGTAAATATCACTGGTCAGGATTTTGTCCCCACTCACCGTTTCCTGTGCAACATTCTGAAGCCATCCTTGACCGAAGAGCCCACGAACAGCCTCACAGGCTTTCCAACTCCAAATGTGACCTTTCCCGCGCCAGCTGACAAACGCTGACCTACGCACGGCGCTGTTGCCTGCGGGCCAAGAACCGAGCCCTCCACCTTCATCTGCGCAGCTGGGTTTGGGTACCTCCTAGGATGTTTTACCGCTTTGTGCCCTTTTTCTTTTTTAAGATTTAATGGAAAATGGAGAAATTAGGAGCGCAAATACTAGTGTTTAAAAAGGTAGGGCTCGTAAATGAAATACGACTGAGAAGAGACAGAAGTCAGTAGCATGCCACAGGGGCAGCTGTTTACCCTCAAGGGCTGCTTGTTAGACTTGGGTCACGTGACTGGGTGTGCAGTCATGAAGAAAAAGCAAAATTAAAGGATATGTATAAAATACTGGAAAATATTTTCGATTCTCATGCCTAAAATGTAGAGGCATAACGGTTTTATAATTTCCATTCTCTGAGAAGGGACTCCCCCTTGTAACTAAGGTGACCACACATCCCAGTGCTCCCAGGACAGCCCTGAATACTCCTGTAGCCTGGGCATAATTATTCATGCCTGCATCCCTTCCACTCTCAAAAGTGTTGTCTCAGTTTGCACAGTAAGTAATATGGTCACCTTACTTTAAAATCCAGGGAATTATCACTTGACTTGTATTTTCGACTTTCAGTGTGTTTCTGAAATGTATTTTTCTATGTGTGAAAGCAAGGGCTTGTCTGTACTTGACTTCTCCTAAGATACTACCTTATCTGCAAAGGCTAAAGTATATCCATGGTACCACCTGCTTTTTCCAGCTAACTGGGACGTCCAGTTAGCTCACAAAATGTATGTCAGGTCAGGGAGGATCAAAGAACAACATCCAGTACTGCTAACTACCTTCTCACACCTTAAATGCAGTCACCTGTTTTATCATCAACTTGAAAGTAAATGAAATTCGTGTCACTCACTTCATGAGTGGAAGGGAGGGGAGGGGTTTAGCATCCAGTTAGACAAATTATATAACAAGGTCTCCAAGCCTCCCAAATCAAGTGAAGATGGTTTGGAAACTGTAATTCTTTTCCACACAGGTAAACCAGCTTAATAGAGAATATCACTTTCATGTAGCCAGTGGATCTTTCATTAGTAGCCATTTGCCCCAAATGACAAGATTTTGGAGTTAGACAAAAATTGCTGAATTACTCTACCCGCAAAGGGCACCACAGCTCTTAACAACTCATGTTGCTTGGTATGATGCTAGCAATAAGCTGTCTTCAAGGCTTCCAGCTGCCGGTGAACACCATGTGCAGAGCTCTGCTATGGGATTTTGTCTCCAACAAATGTCAGCACCACAGTGGGGGGCGAGGAATGGGCAAGGGAGAACGGGAGAAAAGTGGTATAAGGGGCACCGTGAACAGTTAAAAGAAGGAAAGGGAGACAAGAAGGCAGGAGAGTATCACAAACCGTGAAAGTCCTATCATGACCTTCAAAGCCCACAAGTGGCAAGGTCTATCTACAGTATAGCAGGGTCTGGTTCTGCCAAAGCCAGGGAATTCCAAACAAGGTCATTTCCTACTCCCCAAATCAGAGATTGCTAACTGCCTCGGCCCTTTCAATCTCGCGTTCAGAAATGAATCCAGTACCGCAGGTTTTTCTCATCTCACCACCAGGACATCTAATGAGGCTAAACTCCTGGAAGGAGTTCCAGAAAGGCCCACCAAGGAAGATGGCTGCAACCCCATGCAACCCTAGAGGGCACCTGGGAAGGTACAGTGAGGATGGCATGGTGCCAAGACCACTGTGTTCACCCCAAGGGACAGCAAGGCAGAGAGCCCCAGGGAATGAGTATCAGCACCTCCAAGGCAGCCTTCAGAAATGCATGGTGTGGGCTTCCCTGGGCGCAGTGGTTAAGAATCTGCCTGCTAATGCAGGGGACACCGGTTCGAGCCCTGGTCCAGGAAGATCCCACATGCCGCAGAGCAACTAAGCCCCTGCACCACGACTACTGAGCCCGCGTGCTGTACCTACTGAAGCCCACGTGCTAGAGCCGGTGCTCCGCAACAAGAGAAGCCACTTTAATGAGAAACCCATGCAATGCAACGAAGAGTAGTCCCTGCTTGCTGCAACTAGAGAAAGCCCTAGTGCAGCAACGAAGACCCAATGCAGACAAAAATAAATTAATGAATTAAAAAAAAATGCATGGTGTTTCCAAATAAGTCATGAAGGATATTTTCCCCAATGCCGGGAGTAGTAATCTCTGAGTAGGGAAGAGTGTGAGTAATTTTAATGTTCTTCTTTATGCTTCCCTGCATTTACTAACACTTCTATAATTAGCATTCATTATTTATAATGGACAAAAGGACAACAGAGCAGGATGTACAAAGATGGCGCCCAAGCCCTGCTCGCATCAACTGCCTATGTGATCACAGAGCAGCCACTCTGCACTGCTTACTTCCAAGCTGTCCCAGTTTGACACAGGTTACATAACGAGGCAGGAACTAAGTGTATCTTTGCTCAGTTGCGAAATTCAGTTAAGAGCTTGGAGGGTGTGATGGAGCCAGGAAAATTCCTCTAGCAGAGGAGCCCTGAGTTCCATACTGTTTTTTCCTATTGTTCAATCATGTTCACTTCACTAGGAATGTTCCTGACTTTCTCCCACAAGTTTCCTTCCAACAACTGAAGAACAGCCCTCTTAGGCAGGCCCCCTTTACCTTCTGTGAGCCTGGCCTGCGTCTGCTGTCTGGCCCGTAACCTGTGTTCCACCACTGAGAGTCCATGACTGTTGAATCCGTATCTGTAGCACAGAAGAGCGTTAGGGAGGAGATAAGGTTAGAGCCCTCAGGCAGAAAGCAAAGACTCTGGAGGGATGGCTCCATGGCCATTTTCAACATATATTTATGATGTAAAAACCAAAGAAAAAAATCAGAGTCAGTTCTTAGACTTCTAAAGTCTAAACACCCCTGGAAGTCCTAGAGAACTTGCCAGAACACCATCAAATACAAAGGGAAAGATTAAAATTTGCCAACAAGCCACTTAGCCAACTAGCACTATAAACAGCCCAGACCTGTCTGGACCTAGCCCACTCCTGCTTCCCACCCAACGGGGCCCTCACCACTCTGATGACCCATCTTCCCACCTCCTGCCTGTGCCCCATGAACACGCTTCCTGGAACCCATCCTGCCGCTCCATTCCCCCATCCTTTCTACCTATTAAATCTCCCTCTTCCTGGCCCAAGTCAAATGCACCCTCTCCTCCTTGCATAAAGCTTCCAGCCACAAATGATCCCTCACCTCCTGGCATTCATGGAGTGCTTTGTACCTATCTTTCTCCTAGCTTGGGATGTACGTATATGCTTCAGTTCCCCTACTGGGTTCCAGTCTCCTCGAGGACAAGGGACACATCTCCTCCCTCACCTGCCACTAGACACTCCGCAAAGGCTGGGCCTCGCCCCTCTTGATCATCTCTACGTCCCCAGCCCCACGGTGGGTTGTTGGCCTAATGGCCATCCCCACTCCCTTCCTCCTTGCCTGTGGAACCCAGCTCCCCTGACATGGGGTAAAAATGCCAATGACTCCTTTCCCAGCCTCGCTGGCAACTCAAGCATGAACTTGAGATGGGGCTTGGTCACTGAGACACAAGGTGATGCCTACCAGGGAGCTTCTGGGAAAATATCTCCCCCCATATCCATACTTCCTTTCCCTTTCTGCTCTCTGATGTCCTCATGCGAGGATGTATGCTTGCAGCTGGGGTAGGCATCTTACAAACGAGAAGGGAAGGCCCACAGAGGTTGGACCAGAGTACTGACGCCACCCTGCCGCTCAACCAACCCTAAAACTGCCTACTTCACCCGTAATGAGAAGAAAATAATAACAAATGCCTATTGTTTAAGCCACTTTGTCACTTGCAGCCAAAAACACCTAACAGATACATGTAGTTGTTGACTCATGTTCATTCAGCACCCACCCTGTGCGAGGCAGAGCAGGGAGCCTGGGTACACAAGTGCTTGGAGCTCAGGCCCGGCCCTCTTGTGCCACTTCTCACCCACGGGACTCTGCCAGGCACTGTCTTCCTGGTACCTGCAATTATTTGTGGCAGCCGAATCATCAACAAATATTTTTTGCCTGAATGTTCTGAAGATATTGATCCCAGCCTACAGGGGAAAGGTCAGTAACTCGATGTCTAATGCTGGAAATTTTCCCCGAAACAAGCACGATGATGCAGGACGTGCAGCCAAATAAACCACGTCAGTCTCCCAGGAGGCCCTTCATGATCCCAAAGGTGCCTACCAGCGCCCCCAACGAGGCTCTCAAAACTCTGTTACCGAAAAGAAGGAACTTCTTCACTCTCTGGGTTAGCTGTAGAGAAAACTGCCCAGGGCTTACAAAGAGAAGGGCTTTACACGGTCTAGAAGGACCTCTCTTCCTAAAAGCAGCCGTCTATGTTGATTATTAAATTTCCCAGTTACTAAAGGCTGGCGCTGTGCTGTCAGGTGCAAGAGCCACTAGCCACGTGTGGCCACTGAGAGCGAAGCCTGGCCAGTCCAAAGCAAGAGTGCCGTAAGGAAAACATACTGGATTTCGAAGACTTGGTACAAGTGAAAGAAGGGAAACAGCCAGTCATTTTTATATTGCTTAATATTAAAATTATGATAGAGTATATTAAGTATTTCTAATTAAGTAGTATAATGAATAACTGTTACAAATAATAATTAAATAGAATATATTATTAAAGTTAATTGCACCTGTTTCTTTTTGCTATTTTATTGTGGCTACTAGAATATTTTAAATTACATATAGGGCTCATGATATTTCTACTGGACAGAGCTGGGCAAGGACACTGGAGTAACAATGTGGAAAAAGCACAAACTCTAAAGTCAGATAAGCCAACATCCGTTCCCAGGTTCTCCCGCTTCTGATCTCGTGACTGTAGCTAAGTCGTGTAGCTCTCTTAACCTCATCGTGTATACACGTTAAACTGAAATCATAAAACCTGCTTTTACGCCCGCACAGAGTAGATGCTCAACATGGTTCCAGAGCATTCCAAATGACAGAAAAATGTCCACACTGTATGGCAGAAAAAAACACCCCGAGTGTCCTGCTGGGGAGAAGGCTGCTCACCTACCTGTTAATGACGGCTTGGTCCTCAGGGAGGCGGAAGACCCTGGGTCTGGGGTTTCCTTCCTGAGGTTTTGGTGTAACACTGCCTATCTCAACAAAACCAAAGCCCATCTTGTAAAGTCCATCCACAGCTTCCCCGTGCTTGTCAAATCCTGCAGCGATTCCTACTGGATTTCGGAATTTATGGCCCAGGACTCTCACTTCCTAGGGAGAAGGAGACAAAGTCACAGGCACACAAGGCCACGTTGGTGTTTCTCAAAGCGTGGTCCACGGCACGCCTACATCAGAATCACCTGCTTGTTAAACAGCAGATCCCAGGGCCCATCCCCGGACTAAGGAATCAGAATCTCTGGGGGAGGGTGGGGAAGAATGGAACTCTGAGGGAACTTGTTTTTAACAGTGCTCTCCAGGTGATTCTGATGCCAGCCAGAGTTTGAGAACCATCGGGCTTTATCATCACTGAGGAGAAAAACAGTGTTTCCACCATGGGTTGAGCGGGAGACAGGTGCTGCCTTTTCCAATTACGGTGAAGAACTGTACCTTCTTATCCACTATTTAGCCCCTAGATGGTGCTATTCTGAAACAGTCAGGCAGCAAAATCCTTTAATCTTAGTAAGTCAGTCCCCGCTGTGTCCCTCCTCAGCCAGGTGATACCACGGCCCAGCTGTGTCCTCACGACTCCAGTGCTCGACCCAGCAGCACTGATTGCTGGGCCCCAGAACCAGGCTGGGCTGGAAGCAGGTTCTTCCCTGGCAAACATGGGGCGGATTCCTGATTGTTCTCTATGATGAAAGTGACTGGGGCCTAATTACTGTCAGGTCTAGCCTAACTCCTGAGGGACTTAGTATTCACACCCTGATCTAGTCAACAAATCTAGAAGCAAGATAAATACGTTAAAATGTGGGAAAGGAATCGGGATATCGTAAAGTCAGCAGTTGCCAACAGCATCGTCACTGTCAGCTGATATGGCAGGAAAGCCTGTGCCAGGACTAGCAAGGACCTCCAAGGGTGGTACCATCTGGCCTTGGAAGCAGGAGGAAGCAAGGCTGCCCCAAGGAGGGGAAGAAGAGATGGCAGTGAGTGTGTGCGTGCGGTGCCTCGGGGACTGGGAGGCTGGGAGGGTGGCCACACTGGGGGCCCTGGGGGCCGTGCTCCAGGACGGGTCTCTCGGCCCCAGCTGCTCAACAGGCTCCCTGGGCAGCCTTCAGTCCTCAGGCCCAGAGATGACGGTCAAATGGGGCTGGCACCAAACCAGAGCATCTGCGTACAGGTCTCCCCCGCCTTTCCGAAGTTCTCTTTATGCCACTTTGCTTTTACGAAAGACCTACATTTGTACCTGTTTTCTCTAACCAACAGGAATCCAAAGAGGATTTTCACTTTTACAGAAAAAGGTGCCACGTGTGCTCAAAACTGCAGGATGGGAAGTGAAAGGGATTCTAAGACAAAAAGGGAAAATGTAGAGAAGGCCCCTTTGATTGCTAACAGTGACCCTTCCCCAAAGAGGTCTGAGTGTGTTTTCTTCATGTTCACATCATTCTAATGTTCCCCATTTGGTAAGAAGTCTCCTAAATGGAAACTGTCTGGGCTTGCATGAGGATGTAGATTCTAGGAGGACGTGGATCCTTGCACTTTGTTCGCTGCAGAAACCCCAGCACACAGAAGAGTAAGGGGATACGGTGGGGCCCCTGTGTTGAATGCAGGACGGAATGAGGCTGGAACAGGAGTCGTATGCTTTCCTCAAAGGGCTTGGCTAGACATGCCTACATCATGTTAGATGTTAGTGATGCTGGCATGCTTCCCTTTTCAGCAGAGGTGAACACTGAGCTACCCGAGACCTCCGCGAGGCAGGATGGCGGCTAACGGACAGATGCTGAGCCAGACTCCATGGGTTTGATTCCTAGCTCAGCCACTTCCTAGCTGTGTGCATTTGGGTAAGTCACTTAACTATTCTGCACTTCAGCGTTCCTGATCTGTAGATGGGGATGACGGTTTGGGGTGGGGGGCTAATTTGGGACTCTGGTTTTCAAAAGGATCAGCCCCAGCTAAATAAATTAGGGAACTTTGACCTTGACCCTCGTGTCTATCGCACAAGGTGTTACAGGAGTACCTACCAGCATGTCAGAGTCTTGAAACGTGGCACGAGGAAGGAGGCCCAGGGAGGTGACGTGAACAGCCAGCCTGTGGGCTGCCTCGGGGTTCAGCAGCCCCTGCAGAGCCGGCATCAAGTGGTCCGCGTAGAAACATTCATCCCCCGTGGCCGTCAGGTAGGAGGCGAAGAGAAGTCCTCCGCCCCCCAGGATCACCATGGCATCCTGGGCCCGCTTCTGGAAAAAAGAGCCAATGGGGCCCCCTCAAGGCCAGGCTGTAGCACCTTCTCTGAACCCTTTACACGACTCACACACACACACAGAGGACATAACATGCAGTGATGTCCGTGGCCTTCTGCTAACGCTGGTCTCCTTGGGTTCTTGCTCACGTATTGCCTCTACAGTCAGAGGCTGTATCTGCACTTCTGCTGACACGCACTCCTCTAGCCCTGAAGGACTCCAGGCCAGGGATTTCAAGAGGGGCAAGGCTTCCCTGGTGGCGCAGTGGTTAAGAATCCACCTGCCAATACTAGGGGACATGGGTTCAATCCCTGGTGCGGGAAGATCCCATATGTCGCGGAGCAACTAAGCCCGTGCGCCACAACTACTGAAGCCCGCACGCCTAGAGCCCGTGCCCTGCAACAAGAAGCCACCGCAATGAGAAGCCCACGCACTGCAACGAAGAGTAGCCCCCACTTGCCGCAACTAGAGAAAACCCGCGTGCAGCAACGAAGACCCAACGCAGCCAAAAATAAATTAATTAAATATTAAAAATTTTTTAAAAATCTTTAAGAGAGGCAGTATTGCCCCCTAGGGACATGTGGTGGGCACCCAGAGGAGAATGTTAATAGATTTAGTGAGCAGGAAGTCAGTAAAGTGAGAACGGTCCCTATCGTGTGTGACTTTTGAACATCCTACTGACATTCACTAGGTAAAAATATCTGTTCATATTATCTGAGCCTAGAAATGCAAACTCTATTTCCCCACATAAACACAATCTCCTGTGTGGTTTTCATCTGTATTGACTTTCCAGGAATGCAATTACCTTGTAGATTGAGGGATGACTATACTGTTTTGCACAGAACATTACCAAGAATCACTCACTGTTTCAGAAAATCCATGTGGAATGGTTCAGTGCTTTGCTTAGATGTTTGACAATAAAACATTCCTGTGGCACTAGAATTTCTAAGTAGAGGCTTAAACACCTGACTCACTACCTAGGTGACTCATGCCCTAATATTTATGGGTTGAAATACATATTATTTTATTATAAATTTACTTCTCCTTTATATTCCAGTTAGGACATTATGTTGACTTTTTAAAATTATATATAGAAAGATTACATTATACATAAATTCCACTTGAGGATAATAAAGAGGGTTGCAAAAAAAAATTTTTTTAAAGGAGCCTCAGGTCTTTTTTTTAAATTTTATTAAAGTATCATTGATTTACAATGTTGTGTTAATTTCTGCTGTACAGCAAAATGATTCAGTTATACATGTATATATTCTTTTTCATATTCTTTTCCATTATGGTTTATCACAGGATATTGAATATAGTTCCCTGTGCTATATGGCAGGACCTTGCTGTCTATCCATTCTACATATAATAGTTTGCATCTGCTAGTCCCAAACTCCCAATCTTTCCCTCCCCCACCCCCCTCCCCCTTGGCAACCACAGGTCTGTTCTCTAAAGAGCATCAGGTCTTCTTGGATCAAGCTCAAACATCGCTCATAATACTTTTCTCTAATTATCACTGCCCAATGCTGAGTTCCTCACTCATTCATTCATTCAATCATTCAGCACATAGTGACTGTGCACTCAAGGATGGGCTACAGACCGAGTCCCTGCCTTTACAAGGAGTACAACCTCAGAAGGAGACAGAAATCAATGATCATGCAAACATATAACTGTGACAAAGCTATGAAGAAAAAAGTGAGAGAAGAACCTAACAATCAAAGAGGTAGAGAAAGGCTTCCTTGACCAAGTGCCTTAAAGCTGATATTCAAAGGATAAATAGAAGTTAATTAGGCGGCAGGGCGGGGCGGTGTAAATGCTCTCTCCACTCTTGGCAGCAGAGGAGAATGAGATGCACCCAGGTGATTTGAGTTTCGTTCCCTGAACAAGGAAGTGACCTGATCGGATTTGCCTTCAGGGTCACTCCTAGCCGTCAACATAGATCTAGTATTCATTTTTCTCGCTTCTCCTCCAGGAGACTATGGGAACGCCCCTTATGTTGATCAACAGATTTCTGAGCGCCGTTACAAAGACCCTGCCCTAAACTTTTATCTAAAAGGGTTGGCACCATGTTTTACTGTAATTTTATTCCAGGTTGGATGCTGCACACACTGCTAGGCGATCCTGTGTTCACTAAGCGCCCTGTGCCTGGCTCAATAAAGGCCCACGTGCGCTGACACAGGTCGGCATCTACTCCGTTTACACGTCCGTTTACACAGTGACCACGTACATGTGTAAATGCACACGCACGATCATTTGCGGCTGTCCCCAAAGACACAAATGTGCCAAAGAGGCCCACCCTCTCGGAGCCGCCTCCCGTCCACACCTCGCCCAGGCTAGCCCTCCCTCCATCCTCCCCCCACCTGCCTTCCCGCAAGTTCTCTCCTCGCCGCTGCAGGGCCGCACCAGCTGAACTCACTTTGAGTTGTCTCCACGCCATGCTCCTTCCGCCACTGGGCCCGCCTCTGTCTCGTTTCCATTGGAGCAGATGGCGGTGACTCCTCTAGTCTCCGCCCCTCCAGCTGCCGACTCGCCAATCGCTGGGCAAGAGGGTGGGGCGGGGCCCCCTCCGCGGAGGGAAAAGCCCCGCTCAGCTCCGAGAGTCTGGTTGGGCGCTCACGCGTGGGCGCAATCCCCGCGTTCCCGCCCGCCTTCTGGCGTCTTCGCTGCGCTTTGCGGAGGCTCAGCCGAATCCGGTTGGGTTGCTTCGCAGAGCTTTCCTGCAACCTGCAATCTGGAGAGAAGACTAACTGTATGTTGTTTCTTCGTTTCTAAGCCACACTCACCAGTTTTTTTGTCATTTAAGTTAAACATGCTATTGATAGTGTTTGTGCTTTAGATAAAGCATGGATTGAGTATATACCGGGCACTAAAAAGGGTTGAAATGATTTACAGTGCTGTGTAAGATACCTGAGTTGACTTTAAAAGAAGATTTCTTGAGCATCAGGTTTCACTTTTTTAAAATGCCTAAAACGTATGTATGTTTGTAAGGATATTGGGAAATTAAGACTGTGAACTTCCTGCACCCAAACTGTTCCATTGCAGCCCGGACTTGGACTCCTCTGCTCAGAAATCTTCCCCCAAATTGCAAACTCTTATTTTCTTGGCGTTTGAAACAATTCAGTTTTCTAGTTGCAGTTCCCACTACTGTCCCTCTACCCCCCCCCACAAAGAGAGCATTATTTCTTTCTCTGTATAAATGCCTTCCACCGTCTCACCTCCATGCATTTACTCTCGTGGACGCTTCTGCCAAGATGCCTGTTCTATCTTCCTAGACATGGACACCCTTATATGTTCAAGTGCTGGAAATACATCTTCATCTGAACCTTCACAGATTTAAGCTATACCTCTGTAGTGGAACTTTATTAACTACACGTGTTATGTCTTTTCTCCCCTAATTAGACTGTAAACTGTTTGAAAGTAGGGACGATACTATATTTCATCGTACCAGTCGTTTGATTATTGCATTGGTTTTCAAACTGAGGGATGTGTTCTTGGGGTTTACACTTCAGAGAATTTTTGATTTTGGTGTCCACTTCCACAGTGATTTTTTAAAGTAATGTAAGCATCATTTGGACCATTTGGATAACCAACTGAACCCTGAAAGCTGCCAGGCAATTTCACTGCCCACATTTATTTGTATTTGTGATCTCATTTTGGTGCCAAGAAAGAGAACTGGCTAAAATACATAGATGATGGATGTGCTACAGGTGAAGATCAAATTACATGCTTTATGAACAAAGGTTTTTTATTTATTTATTTTATTTATTTTTGGCTACGTTGGGTCTTCGTTGCTGCATGCGGGCTTTCTCTAGTTGCAGTGAGCGGAGGCTACTCTTCGTTGTGGTGCACGGTCTTCTCATTGCGGTGGCTTCTCTTGTTGCGGAGCACGAACTCTAGGCGCGCAGGTTTCAGTAGTTGTGGCTCGTGAGCTCTAGAGCGCAGGCTCAGTAGTTGTGGTGCACGGGCTTAGTTGCTCCGCGGCATGTGGGTTATTCCCGGACCAAGGCTCGAACCCATTTCCCCTACACTGGCAGGCGGATTCTTAACCACTGCGCCACCAGGGAAGCCCTGGACAAAAGTTTTTCAGCAAATTAAAGAAAAGTGGTGAGAGAATTGATTCTTCCCTACAGTACGAAGTAGCGTGAATGACAAAATCAAAAGAACCTGTGCAGTCGTAGGCCAGAGCTGTGTTTATCTGCTAAGTGGCTATTTAGTTTGGCAAAATTTGAATTGCATTGGTTTTCAGTTTTGTTTATATTTAGTTTCTATTCATTCTTTCATCAAATATTGATTCTTTGGCTTTTATGATTATGTAAGAGCTTTAGGAGAGAGATTACGCCTAGTTTTGTGTATAAATATATTTAAGAAACAATACAATAATTTAAATCCATCGTAGGGGTCTGCAAGAATGGTTTTCTTTAAAAAAATACATCACTAAATTTTTAGCAACACTGACTTAGATATTCATCGTCCTCTATCCCCTTACAGCTTAGACTTAGCAAATAAAGATCTATTATAAAGTTAAAGGTATAGCCGGTTGTGTAGACACAGGTGGTGCTGCCCTAGCTATGAAGGCCCATTGCTTTATTGATCTCTGGCATTTGTTTTCAGCTTATAGGAACTCCACCTGGGTCCTTAAAACAAAACCTTTTGTCTCCTTGACAAATTATTACCAATTTCTAAAAGAATAATACTAATAAGATAAACCCACCAAGAATGTATTTAAAGGACCAGGCAGCTGCTGAGCCCCAACTCGTTTTTTTAAATTTATTTATTTTTTATTTTTGGCTGCGTTGGGTCTTCGTTGCTGCGCGTGGGCTTTCTCTAGTTGCGGCGAGCAGGGGCTATTCTTCTTTGCGGTGCGCGGGTTTCTCATTGCAGCGGCTTCTCTCGCGGAGCACGGGCTCTAGGCGCGCGGGCTTCAGTAGCTGTGTGAGCCTCTACACTTTTCATGTGCACAGTGCACAGAGAAAATGTTCTTCAAAGGAAGAACCTGGCTTTGGTTATACATCACAACAGGTATCGTTCTAGGAAATGAGCTGGATAGCCCAGAGCAACATGGAGAACATAATTGTTATCAGCTTAACAGGTTTCATTGCAGCTTTCAGGAAGCAGAAGATTACTGTCGTGCTCAGAGAGGACACCCTGCTTGCACTTGGAACCAGGAGGTTCAAGACCTCCGGGACTTTCTGGAAGAAGGAAAGAAGTGGTACGGTTGGGGAAAATTTAACGCTGCTGGGAAAACATCAAGAAAAAAACAACCCAGGTAAGGCTCTGAGGTTTAGTGTTTATGAAGGAAACTTCCTTACTTTTACTGAGACAAGAGAAGGAAAAAAAATTAAATCTTTCCCCTTTTGTATACAGAAAAAGCAATCACTTCACTTTGTTACCATCATTCCTCTGAAATATCTCCACTTTTGTGCTTCAGCCTTGGTTTGTGTCAGAAAAATGATGAGATTTTTTTCAGAGCCTCTCTAAAGTTAACTTACCTGCTATTTCACTAAAAGTGTCGCGCGAGATTCTGAAATGGAAATCCTTTTACGGTCACTTTTTTTTCCCTGGTAAATATCTCTTTATCATTCTCTGCCCCACGTTTCCTAACAGAACCTTGGAGAGAAATTATTGGCCTCTTGTTTCTTACACAGATATTTTCAAAATTACGCACCATAATCCTGTGGTCTTAGAGAAAAATCCAAGGCATTATTATATCATCATCATCTTCATTGAAGTCTAGGTAAATTAATACTAAGCCTTGTGATAATGCATAATATGAAAAAATAAACAATCTCTAATTTGTTGGGGGGGCAATCCTAAATTTCCATCTATTGGAAGCTAGCAGGATTTGGTCTTCATAGTTATATTTTTCTAAATGTTCGACTTTTGAGTATGAGCCTCATCCGGGTCTGGTCTCCCTGCAGCAGATGTCACAGCCCACTGGGCCCCCACGCCCACCTGCATTTACCTGTTCCGAAACCCCAGTCGGATCTCGTCAAAAGTGGACTTGTGCTCACTGGGGCATGAGTTCATTTGCCAGGCTGTTAAGTGATGAGACCACATGCTGCCAAAGACCTAATTGTCACAAACTGATTGTAAACAAGGAGAACGTGTGAGAGCAGTAGGTAAAGAGTCTGTGAGTGATGGACGGGAGAGGCTTCCTCCTGCAGCCCCTCTGGTAGTTGGGCAGAGCCATTCCTTGACGTTCCCTTCACTTCCTGACTTGGTGGGCTGTGGGAGAAAGTGTACTGATAAACCCCATTAACCACATGTACCCCTCCAGTCCTTTTAGCATTTGGGCTTTAGGGGGAAGAACAGGAAACAAAGGAGGAACACAGAATACAGTGGAATATAGGGGAGCTTGTTATCATTTAGAGGTTTGCTTCTTCAGAGGTAGGAGGTGAGAATTAAGCAGGGGGTGTGCGTAGTTGGGTTTTTTTTTTTCAATTAACGTTCTTCATGCAGTAGTCACAAAGCATTTGTTCATAGCTCAGTGAATTGACAGAGAATTCTGAGAATTCTCAATGATGTCTCAGACTGTTTAGGTAAAAATCTTGTTGCACTTTTTTAAAAAAAATCACAAATACATTCTTATTAAAATATACAGCAGCTATGGATGCTTCATAGAACAGAATACATTGCAATATTTCTCTATTACAAGAAAAAAAAAGATCACCTTCCTCAAATACTGGCTATTGAAAGGGCCCAGTATTTCGAAGTAAATATTTCTAGCTTCAGACCTCTCCTTCGTCACCCTTTCAAGCTCTTTGATATCTTTGTCCCTTTTGCCATAACGCGCTATTTTTAAAAATTGATTTGTATCGGAGTATAGTGGCTTTACAAAGTTGTGTTAGTTTCTGCTGTAAGCATGCTATTGTTAATGAGGCCAAGGCTGTGAGCATAATCTCTGCACAAGTCAAGTGCCCAAGTGTTTCGTTCTTACAAACTGCATCCCTAGAACTGGCAGCCATCTTACAACTGTGCGCTTTTCTCATCACAGGAGTTTATTTCGCCAGACCCATCTCCAGGATTGGAAAAACAACCCCTAATGTAGTCTAAATAGTGTTGATTGTCCATCCATTTTTCACTCTCCAAGAATTGAGCTTTTAGACTTTCTCAGTTATTCTTGGTTTTGGAGTGAAGGTGCATTTCCCGGTATTATTTTTCACGTACTGGCAAGAGATTTCTGCTGTAGAACATAGAAAGTTTGTGCAGAAGAAAATCTTGGACAAAAAGAATTCTGTTCAATTTACCCAAGCCAGTTCTGTAAATTCTGAGTCTATGTTCCGATAATGAGAGGAAGTAGGTCACTGCAGTGAAGAGCTGGAGCTGTGGAGTCGGGCTTCCTGGGTTCCCATCTTGTTTCTGTGACCCTGGGCAAGCAGCTTAACCTCCATGCAGCCCAGTGTCCTTCCAAGGATGGTTATGAGGATTAATTAAGACAATACAAATAAGGTATTAGAACAATTCACATACTATAGCAATTATTACTGTTAACGTTATTGTGCAGTTTCAATTTTTTGTTCAAAGTTTACCTTCTGCTTCTAGATAGCTTCACATTCATGCCAAAGGTGAAAACACTTTTGGAGATCCAATATTGGTATTAACCATTATTATCAGAGTGTTTATACATCTTATTATGAATTTAAGAAATGCCTCTTCCAAAATAGCATGCCGGTAGGAGAAATATCTGTAAATGTTCAGATACTTAACGTTCAAAAAAGAAGTCTGATGCTTCATATTATTGTACAATATTACTTAAGATACTTATTGACTTTTTCAACATTTGAATAGTTGAACTCATTTTTCATTTACTTAAAAAATAAAAACACTTAAAGCTCACATGTAAGAGCATTAAGAAATTGGAACAGTGAACAAGTTGGAATAAAAAGTAACAGTTTGTGTTAAAAGTGGTGTCGTAATAGGGTTAATATTCCTCTTGTAAGTGCCAAGACAGCTGTACTGGTTGTGAAAGCTTTGAAATACTTCCATGCCATTGGGAAAGTAAAGTAATATTATAAACTCATTACTTCAAACTAACGATCATAGGATGATATGACAGCCATTGATAAATGGAGATCTATCCTAGAGACATCTGAAAAATATTTTTAGACCTATCTGCCATTCTGGCTAAGGTCGCAGTGTTGCACATCCTTTGAAACACTCTGTGCTTTAGGAGAAGCACCAGCATATCATTAGCTCAAATTACATACTTGCTACTACTTCTGAATAATGTAGCTTTGACTTTGGTTTTGTTGTTAGTGTGTTATATCTCTTGTTTAAGTAGTACATGCGTGATGTTTTGATATTTATAAATTCAATAGTTTGTAATAAAATATGAAACACAAGTTCCCACAATCCCTAATGAAAAAATGGATCTAGGGAATAGTCACCAATGGCTGCTAGACTAATAGTTATTCGTTATCACACAGATATTATGTGACTCCTGATGGAAGTACTTGACACCACCTACTAAGCATTCTTATAGAAAGTAGAACTTGAATCTGATTAAGCCTCTAGAGCCAACCAGTTTATAAAAAGTCAGAACTGAGAGCATGTGAGATGGCACCATGGGAATACAGTCATCAAAATCCAGAACTGGGAAGCTTTACAGGATAAACGACTCAGGTTTTACAATAAAGACATGGCAAGATTGAGGGGAGAGAATGAGGAGGAAGTGGGAAAGGGCCACCCAGGAGAGTGGAAGTGAGAATAGACTAGGGAAATACTTAGATTACCAGGCAGGGTGAACGCAGGCCCCTCGTGGTTCATGATCCTGAATTTAAGCTGAGACGTAGTCAACGGGGTTGTATGATTTCTCCAGCCACGTTCAGCAGCGTGATAAGAGACAGCAAATATACACAGAGAGGCACATTCAAGAATGCTGTTGCCCACCTTCTGAACTCTTTAATCTCTACCAATAAGGATTATCGAATACAAAGGAGAATCTTATGCTTAGAATGTAATTTCCTAAAGTAAACTTAATTCTCTGTATTCTCACTGTTGACCCAGTTGGTGGACCTAATTCTGAGATGTTGTGACTGTGCTCCAGAGCAGAAGACCTACTTCAGAATTCCTACGTTGTTTTTCTTTTTAAAAACGACTGGATAGTTATCTTTAATTTGTTTAACATGTGTTTTAATTATCACATGTGTGCATACTGATTATTTTGTAGACTTCCACCTAGCGTTTTATCCTATAAGTTAACTTTTGCATTGGCCTCCAAATAGATGCCTTTTCAGACCAAGATGCCAGTTATGAAAGAAATGGGAATAATTCTCATTCACATAGGAAACCCAAAAGGACAAAGAGAAGTCACAATACCGAGAAACAAAATGACCTCAGGTAATGTGTAGTGAAATCAATTCCACCCTTAAGGGATGCACAAGACTTAATGCCGAAATGTGTCCACATCACGGGTACTCAGTAAATATTCTTTACATTCTATTTTGTCTGATCTTAATATTGCAGTGTTTGCTTTCATTTTTTAAAATTTATTTATTTTTATTTTTGGCTGTGTTGGGTCATCGTGCTGTGCGTGGGCTTTCTCTAGTTGTGATGAGCGGGGGCTATTCTTTGTTGCGGTGTACGGGCTTCTCATTGCGGTGGCTTCCCTTATTGCAGAGCATAGGCTCTAGGTGCGTGGGCTTCAGTAGTTGTGGCACGTGGGCTCAGTAGTTGTGGCTCGCAGCCTGTAGAGTGCAGGCTCAGTAGTTGTGGCGCCCGGGCTTCATTGCTCCGCAGCATGTGGGATCTTCCTGGACCAGGACTCGAACCCATGTCCCCTGCAGTGGCAGGCAGATTCTTAACCACTGTTCCACCAGGGAAGCCCTAAGAAAAGTTTTTTTCCCACAAAAGTTTCCATCAAAAAAGAGTCGTGTTAAAGCCCTTGCAAAGTCCTTCATATCGTGGTATTCTCCCTTTTTTAAAAAACAATTTTGAAAAACAAATACTATTTGGGGAAAATGCATGAGTATGAAATGACCTCAATCAATATCAATGTTGGCTAATTATAGAGATCACCTGACAGAATGGGTGAAAAAAGAGACAAATTTAAAGTGGATCTAGGGTTTCCTTGGTGGTGCAGTGGTTGAGAATCCACCTGCCAGTGCAGGGGACACGGGTTCGAGCCCTGGTCCAGGAAGATCCCACATGCTGTGGAGCAACTAAGCCCACGCACCACAACTACTGAGCCTGTGCTCTAGAGCCCGCAAACCACAACTACTGACCCCATGTGCCACAACTACTGAGCCCCCGCACCTAGAGCCCGTGCTCCGCAACAGGAGAAGCCATGGCAATGAGAAGCCCGCGTACCGCAATGAAGAATAGCCCCCGCTCGCCGATACTAGAGAAAAGCCCGCACGCAGCAACGAAGACCCAACGCAGCCAAAAATAAATAAAATAAATAAATTTTTTAAAAACTCTTTAAAAAACTAAAAATAATAAAAACAAAGTGGATCTAGTGATATTCTTAGGGGTGGCAGCACACAACTTCAAGGATTGGGTGTCCTTGTCAACAAGCCCCTTAAGTATCCTTTAAAAAAGCAATTTAGAAAGTGTGATTGTTGCAGAGACATTCTCTCATCTAGAGAGAATATGTATCTAAAGAACAAATGTAAAAATCAGCTTTTCTGAATACTTTGTAAATGAGTACTTGTGAGTTGGGAAAAAAGATAGTGATAGAATTAGACGGAAGTAAAGATGAGATATTTTGGAAAACCTAAATAATTCTGAAATTTCTTCTGGTTATAATGAAAGCAGTGATGTTGAAGATGCATTTGAAAAGTTTAAATAAAGCTATGTCATGAAATTGAGTTTCACAAGAGCAAAGCTTCTAAATGAATATACTACTTTGTATAACGTGATTTTAATTATGCCTTTGTAAAACTAAATTACTGAATTAAATAAGTAGACATTTGTTTCACATACATCCTTCAAGTTTATATAGTCAAATTTGCTCAAAAATAACTTTTAAAAAATCTCATTGAGAAAGGAGGTCACCTTATATTTATGTATGTGGGGTCCTTTAAAAAATTTTGTCACTTTGCTTTAGCTGTGTGCCTACTAAATTTCATGTGAATGCATCTAATTATTTCACTCACTGAGAATATTTTTATAGTAGAGTTTATCATATTCAACTTTATTTTAATAACATGTCATTCCTTGCCTTGTTCTGTGCCTTCTGGTTCTAACGCTTCCTTGCTTTTGTCTTTTGTTGAAATTTTGTTCTTCAGTAGTCTTGTGTTAATTATTTACCTTCAAGAAGCTTTTTAAACACATTCTTTTTTTTTTTTTTTTTGCGGTACGCTGGCCTCTGACTTGTGGCCTCTCCCGTTGCGGAGCACAGACTCCGGACGCGCAGGCTCAGCGGCCATGGCTCACTGGCCTAGCCGCTCCGCGGCATGGGGGATCTTCCCGGATCGGGGTACGAACCCGTGTCCCCTGCATCGGCAGGCAGACTCTCAACCACTGCGCCACCAAGGAAGCCCTAAACACATTCTTATACTTATGTTTTTCTAGTTGTCGGGCTCAGGAATGAAACAGTCTCTCTTGAAATCCCCTCATCTGGTTATAGAATTATAGCACAGGTTAGTTTTTTCACCTCCCCACCCTCACTCACTAGATCTTGTTAGGATATTCTGTGGGTTTTACTCAGGTTATTGTTATAGTAAATAATTATTTTTATACTATACAACTTCAGAATACTTTTTTCATGCTTTTATCAAAGCCAGATTTCCAACAATAATTTAGAATTTATTTCTGTTTTAACTGGTTTCGTATTTATCACCAACCACTTTGTACCATAACTTCCCACTTCCGAGTTCTTAATTTCGTTTCATCTCTATTCCAATTGTTTTTTCAAGAAAGATCTATTGGTGGAAATATTTTGGGAGCTTGTGAATAATCAAAAGGGGTCTTTCTTGTCCCTTCCTAATGTTAAAGGAAAACTTTCCCCAGACAATTTACTGATCTAGTAAGCTTTTATTCAGTGACTCATGAGTTGGGCAACAACCACTCTAGCAGACAGAAAGGATCTCTTAAGAGCTGTACAAGGGGAGAGATTTTTATAGAGATGAGCAGGAGCAAGGAGGTTGTACTGGGCATTTACTAAGTGGTTAATGCAAGTTTACTTCTCTTAGAAGGAGCAAAGGGAAGTGATGGAGCTGGGTTATGTAACTTGTACTGGGCAGGCAGGCACTGACTGGTTGACTTTGGCCTTCCTTTCCTGGAAGAGCTGTTTGCTGATGCGGGGCTTAGCATGAGTGACTCCATCTTGGGCCTGATCTGGTTACTTTAACATCAGTGAGGCATATGTTAGCAGGGTGTACAGTTAAAAGGTAGGATCAGTTGCTGTAACAAAGGCCAAAATGGTAGCTTAAACAAAATGGAAGTTCATTTCTCTTTTACATAACAGTCTGAGTAAGAGGTCTAAGGCTGAAAGGATCAGTGGTTTACAGGACCCAAGCTCTTCCTTGTTCTGCCATCATCAACTTGCAGCATCCATCTCAGGTCTATAAAAGCTGTTTTATCACCCTGCACTCTATGTTCACGTTCCAGCAAGTGGGAAGGAGAGAGGGGTGGGGTGGGGACTGATCTTTTTTTTTTTTTTTTAAGGGCACAGCCTGGAAATTGCATCTACTACTTCTCATATCCCATTGGCCAGGACCTGATCACATGCCCACACCACTGCAAGCAAGGAGGGCTGGGAAACGTAGTCCTTAGCTGGACTGCCATGTTCTCATGGAAGGAAGGGAGGACATAGTAGAGAATAACCAACACTCTACAATGAAAGTGATGCAGTTCTTTCCTCACAGTCTTCCCCCTCAAAACTCTGTAGACATCATTGTCTTTTGGCGCTTAATGCCACAGTGGAAAAGATTAAGGCTAGCCACTCCCCCTTTTTTCTGGTAGCCTTTTTTTCCCATATCAGATTGCTTGTAGAATTTTTTAATCCTTGTGCTACAGAAACTTTCTTTTAGCATGCATCTAGGTTACTTTTCACCGATTTTGCCTAGAATGTGATGTGGCATATATACATCTTTCTTAGCTTATGAAAGTTTTATTCTATTCTACCCACTTAACCCTTCTATCTCATTTGCTCTGGTTTTGTCCCTGAGCAATACCAGTTATCTATGTGCTATCCTGCTGGCTCCTGTCCTCCATATCTTTCCTGTCATTCTTTTAAGTGAAACGATGGTTTCCTATTTATCACTCTTGTACATTCTGAAAGAACTCCTGACATTTATCCTGCGTACCACTGATTTGACTTTTCCACCTCAGTTCTGTCCTGTATTACCTCCAACATGGATCTAAATTTTTCTGTAGCATTTTTGGTTTTCTTGAAATCCTCTACTATCATTTATTTCTCTTTTAATCTATCTCATTCTTATGCATATTAGCTTCAGTTGGTTTATCTTTAAGATTCTCTGTTTCGCAGTACAGACAAAAAAAACCAGACTGTTTCAATTAAGGATGTTAAACAGCTTTCTGAAATATTCTTCTGGATTTTGCTGTTGATGATTTTCAGAGCTACACTTTCCTCTGTGTCCTTTGGAGTCAATTCCCAGGTTCTAAAGTGCTATTCATAGGCTCCATGTTATTCTTTGTTTTTTTCCTTATCTTTTAAGGCAAGATCTGTCAAAACGCATTTGTCTAAGACTAAGAAATTGTATCACCCTGAACTCAGCAGCCTGTTGGCTTATTTAGTGGTCATAACCCCTTCTCAGATCGACGGTTGAAGTTCTGGGTTAGTTTGCTGTTCTCAGCAAGCTGTCAACCTAATGACCCTAATCTGAGGTGAGGTTTTACTCAGCTCTACATACATTGCTTTAATTTTCACATCGTTGGATATTATTACACCGGTTCTCAAGATGAGAAAACTAAGAGGTTAAGTCATTTGCTCAAGGCTTCATAGTTACAGTGAAAGGCAAACCAGCTCTGGACCCCAGATTTTTGACTTGTAGAATCCAGTTTCTGTTTTCAATCCTCCATCCTGTTAGTCAGTCTTCTGGCTTGTGTACAGATGTATCAACAGGGGGAAATGATCACTGTGGTTTCCTATATAAAACAGTTTGTGTTGTTTTTAGCCGTGAATAATCCAAGTAAAATAGAACTATTTCTATCCTAAAACTTTTCCTTGAGCTTCATTGACTTTCTTTTTCCTATAGTAGCCGGTCATCTTTCAACCGCATGCCACCAACCTGCTCGTGCTACTCTGGTAAGTACTGACCTTCACAGTGCGCATCTTGGAATATTATTCTTTTTGTCATTCTTGGTGGGTCCTGGCAGAACTCTACTCTGTCTCGTAGAGGGCTCTGGATGTAATTTTTGAAGAAGGAAAGGAAAGTACTTAAGTGCAGGAAAGAATCAGGTTTGGTGGATGCTTTATTAAAGAAAATTTGAAAGCCTCTGTTTGGCTTTCATGTTGGTACAGTTAGCATTTGTTGGGTGGTTGTTGGTTTATTCCCTGCTTCATCCCAAAAGAGGACTTGTGGCATCTTACCAAAATATATGCAATGCAATAAAATTTACTAATTCTTTTAGGGGCTTCCCTGGTGGCGCAGTGGTTGAGAGTCCGCCTGCCGATGCAGGGCACGTGGGTTCGTGCCCCGGTCCGGGAGGATCCCACGTGCCGCAGAGCAGCTGGGCCCGTGAGCCATGGCCGCTGAGCCTGCGCGTCTGGAGCCTGTGCTCTGCAACGGGAGAGGCCACAACAGTGAGAGGCCCGCGCAAAATAAATAAATAAATTTAAAAAATAATTCTTTTAAACAGGGAAAAAGAAAGAAATCTGAGTGAAAGGAAAATAAGGGTAGGACCTCTGCATAATCTATAAATTTCACCTTCAAGGGAATTCCCTGGCAGACCAGTGGTTAGGGCTCCATGCTTCCACTGTAGGGGGCACGGGTTCAATCCCTGGTCAGGGAATTAAAATCCCGCAAGCCACTCAGCATGGCCAAAAAAAAAAATATTTTCACCTTCAAGAAACTTCTCAGCCTTCTTGCCTCTGTGTCCTGCATAGAAACCTTTTAGTGGATGTCTAAATATAGATGCATATTTATTTGATCCAACATTAACTGCAAACTGTAAGTTTTCTAACAACATAAAAGAGAACGGGTGAAATAAATGCCCCTCAAAGCAGCATTTCCCAAGTGATATTCTGTAAGATAACAACCAACATTCTTAAAATGTTGCCAGAAGGAAGGAAAACAAAGGTTTTTTTGTTTTTGTTTTTTTTGCGGTATGTGGGCTTCTCACTGTTGTGGTCTCTCCCGTTGCGGAGCATAGGCTCCGGACGCGCAGGCTCAGCGGCCATGGCTCACGGGCGCAGCCGCTCCGCAGCAGGTGGGATCTTCCCGGACCGGGGTATGAACCCGTGTCCCCTGCATCGGCAGGCGGACTCTCAACCACTGCGCCACCAAGGAAGCCCTAAACGCATTCTTATACTTACGTTTTTCTAGTTGTCGGGCTTTTTGACCTGACAAAGGTTTTTGACCCGACAAAAGTCCTAAGGTTTTTGACCTTAGGACTTCTCAGAGCCTTTCACGTGCTGAAGCCTAACCACTGCGCACCGTCTCCGAGCAACCGATCTACACTGTGCATGTGCCGCCTCCTGATCTCCCTGCTTCCAGACCTGGCGCCTTGCTGTCCCCTCTCAACCCAGCAGTCCGAGGGGGTCCAGCACAATCAGATCATCCTGCTGCTCCTCAGAGCCCCCAGTATCTTCCCATCTCATGGAGAGTAAAATCATGCTCTTCTTGATCGCCTGACGTGACATGCTCTCTCCACCCCCGTCCCTTCCTCCCACCCCACCCCGGGATCTTCCTGGCCTCCCCCAATTCCCCCTTTTTCTCATCTAGGCTTCTTGTTCCTCAAATCCAGCAGGCTGTGGCCTCAGGGCCTTTTCACCCCGCAAATGTCCATCTCCAATGTATTGGCAGAGCTCGCTCTCTCCCTATATCCAACTGTCAGCAAAAATGCCCTCTCCTGATAGCTGAGCGCCCTTTCTCTTCATCTGCTTACCTTTGTTTTTTATGTTTTTTTCCTTTACTTTATTCAGTACATGATACAATTTGTGTATCTGCCACCATTACAAAAATGGAAGCTCCGTGAGGGCAAGAACTTGGCTTGTTTTGTTCATTGCTGTATCCTCAGTTCCCCAGAACATTGCTTCACATAGTAGATGTTTAATTATAATTTAGTGAATGGTTGACAGTGAGCCCAATAATATAAATTGTGAATTTTAAAGAAGGTACTATGGTTTGCCACTTTCTCAAAACTGTTTGCCACTTTCTCAAAACAGGATCTTTTTGAGAGAAATGCCTATTACTACCTCACAGGGCATGGGAGTTCTAGAACACTTTTAGAAATACTGCCTTAATTATTCATCCTTTGGTATAATCATATTCAGCCTTTTCCTTTGCATATTTTAATCTTGTAGTCCAAGACCCTGTGCCATTCCATCAGCCCATTTCCTTCAATACCACCTGGAGTCACACAGCAGGGAGTATCAGTCATGCCTGTACCTACCAGCCAGCCTCTCCCTGTGCCACCAGAGCTCACCAGGCCTGCATCTGTAACACATGCTGGAAAAGCTTCGGTAGAAATAACTTCAAGCCCCAAAGAGGACTCACATTCCAGGTGTCTTCACTACTCATCCACAAGCGTCATTTCGCAACACATCTGATCAGGTAAATATGGAAAATTGAAGTCACAACTTGGGTACCCTTGTGACCCTGAAAAAACACTTCTACTCTTTCCTTCTAATATGGTGATGTTTCAAGAAAATGATGCTGGAAAGGAGCCGGGTTCACCCTTTACCTCTGAGCGGAACCTAAGAATGCGTGACAGATGATGGGGTTCAGGGCAGGCTGCCCCAGAATGTGCCAAAGATGGTGAAGGCCCAACAAACTCAAGAAGAGCTTTTTTTTTTTTTTTTTGAGGTACGCGGGCCTCTCACTGCTGTGGCCTCTCCCGTTGCGGAGCACAGGCTCCGGACGCGCAGGCTCAGCGGCCATGGCTCACGGGCCCAGCCACTCCGCGGCATGTGGGATCTTCCCGGACCGGGGCACGAACCCATGTCCCCTGCATCGGCAGGCAGACTCTCAACCACTGCGCCACCAGGGAAGCCAAGAAGAGCTTTTTACCTCCCTCTTAATTGCCAAAAAGAAATTAGATGGGGAGCCTGTGCCGGGAAGAGAGCTATTGCCAAAGGTAACCTTCCTTGCATTAGGGACACATCCCCGCACGGTGTGGCAAACATTTGTTTACCAGACCTTTCCTCCTCTCATCTTCTGTGAAATGTCTTCCTCCCCTTTGATGTCCCAGACCCCTACCCCCTTCTCCTTAGCTCAGGATGGCAGCTAAACCTCAGCAGCCTGTCTTTGAGTCTCCCGTCTTTGGGACTCCCATACATACGTAATTAAATTTGTTTTTCTCTTGTTAATCTGTCTTATGTCAACTTAAAAATTACTAGACCAGCCAAAGGACCTGGAAGGGAAGAAGGGAAAAGTATTCCTCCCCTAACAAACAAGCCTATATCCCAATTAAAAGCAAAAACTAAAAGTCCATGAAAATATTCCACAATGGGTTTTATACCCATTTCAGGATTTAATGTCTTCTTTTTTTTAATTTAATTTTATTTATTTTTTTATACAGCAGGTCCTTATTAGTCATCAATTTTATACACATCAGTGTATACACGTCAATCCCAATTGACCAATTCATCACACCACCACCACCACCCCGTGGCTTTCCCCACTGGTGTCCATACGTTTGTTCTCTACATCTGTGTCTCAGTTTCTGCCCTGCAAATCCGTTCATCTGTACCATTTTTCTAGGTTCCACATGTATGCATTAACATACGATATTTGTTTTTCTCTTTCTGACTTAGTTCACTCTGTATGATAGTCTCTGGATCCATCCACATCTCTACAAATGACCCAATTTTGTTCCTTTTTATGGCTGAGTAATATTCCATTGTATGTATGTACCACATCTTCTTTATCCATTTGTCTGTCTATGGGCATTTAGGTTGCTTCCATGACCTGGCTATTGTAAATAGTGCTGCAGTGAACATTGCGGTGCATGTGTCTGTTTGAATTATGGTTTTCTCTGGGTATATGCCTAGTAGTGGGATTGCTGGGTCATATGGTAATTCTATTTTTAGTTTTTTAAGGAACCTCCATACTGTTCTCCATAGTGGCAGAATCAATTGACATTTCAACCAACAGGGCAAGAGGGTTCCCTTTTCTCCACACCCTCTCCAGCATTTGTTGTTTGTAGATTTCCTGATGATGCCCATTCTAACTGGTGTGAGGTGATACCTCATTGTAGTTTTGATTTGCATTTCTCTATTAGTGATGATGAGCAGCTTTTCATGTGCTTCTTGGCCATGTGTATGTCTTCTTTGGAGAAATGTCTATTTAGGTCTTCTGCCCATTTTTGGATTGGGTTGTTTGTTTTTTAAATATTGAGTTGCATGAGCTGTTTAGATATTTTGGAGATTAATCCTTTGTCCGTTGAGTCATTTGCAAATATTTTCCCCCGTTCTGAGGGTTGTCTTTTCGTCTTGTTTATGGTTTCCTTTGCTGTGCAAAAGCTTTGAAGTTTCTTTAGGTCCCATTTGTTTATTTTTGTTTTTATTTCGATTACTCTAGGAGGTGGATCAAAAAAGATCTTGCTGTGATTTATGTCAAAGAGTGTTCTTCCTGTTTTCCTCTAAGAGTTTTATAGTGTCCGATCTTACATTTAGGTCTCGAATCCATTTTGAGTTTATTTTTGTGTATGGTGTTAGGGAGGGTTCTAATTTCATTCTTTTACATGTAGCTGTCCAGTTTTCCCAGCACCGCTTATTGAAGACACTGTCTTTTCTCCATTGTATATCCTTGCCTCCTTTGTCATAGATTAGTTTATCATAGGTGCATGGGTTTATCTCTGTTTTTTTTTATCTTGTTCCATTGATCTGTTTCTCTTTTTGTGCCAGTACCATATTGTCTTGATTACTGTACCTTTGTAGTATAGTCTGAAGTCAGGGAGTCTGATTCCTCCAGCTCCGTTTTTTTCCCTCAAGACTGCTTTGACTGTGCGGGGTCTTTTGTGTCTTGATAAAAATTTTAAGATTTTTTGTTCTAGTTCCGTAAAAAATGCCATTGGTAATTTGATAGGGATTGCATTGAACCTGTAGATTGCTCTGGGTAGTATAGTCATTTTCACAATATTGATTATTCCAATCCAAGAACATGGTATATCTCTCCATCTGTTGGTATCATCTTTAATTTCTTTCATCAGTGTCTTATAGTTTTCTGCATACATGTCTTTTGTCTCCCTAGGAAGGTTTATTCCTAGGTATTTGATTCTTTTTGTTGCAGTGGTAAATGGGAGTGTGTCCTTAATTTCTCTTTCAGATATTTCATTATTAGTGTATAGGAATGCCAGAGATTTCTGTGCATTAATTTTGTATCCTGCAACTTTACCAAATTCATTGATTAGCTCTAGTAGTTTTCTGGTAGCATCTTTAGGATTCTCTATGTATGCTATCATGTCATCTGCAAAGAGTGACAGTTTTACTTCTTCTTTTCCAATTTGTATTCCTTTTATTTCTTTACTTCTCTGATTGCCATGGCTAGGACTTCCAAAACTATGTTGAATAACAGTGGTGAGAGTGGACATCCTTGTCTTGTTCCTGATCATAGAGGAAATGCTTTCAGTTTTTCACCATAGGGAATGATGTTTGCTGTGGGTTTCTTGTATATGGCCTTTATTATGTTGAGGTAGCTTCCCTCTATGCCCACTTTCTGGAGAGTTTTTATCATAAATGGGTGTTGAATTTTGTCAAAAGCTTTTTCTGCCTCTATTGAGATGATCATATGGTTTTTATTCTTCAATTTGTTAATATGGTTTATCACATTGATTGATTTGCATATATTGAAGAATCCTTGCATTCCTGGGATAAATCCCACTTGATCATGGTGTATGATCCTTTTAATGTGTTGTTGGATTCTGTTTGCTAGTATTTTGTTTTGAGGATTTTTGCATCTATATTCAGTGATATTGGTCTGTAATTTTCTTTTTTTGTAGTGTCTTTGTCTGGTTTTGGTATCAGGGTGATGGTGGCCTCATAGAATGAGTTTGAGAGCGTTCCTTCCTCCGCAATTTTTTGGAAGAGTTTGAGAAGGATGGGTGTTAGCTCTTTAAATATTTGATAGAATTCACCTGTGAAGCCATCTGGTCCTGGACTTTTGTTTGTTGGAAGATTTTGGTTTTTTTTCTTTTGCGGTACACAGGCCTCTCACTGTTGTGGCCTCTCCCGTTGTGGAGCACAGGCTCCAGACGTGCAGGCTCAGCGGCCATGGCTCACGGGCCCAGCCGCTCCGCGGCATGTGGGATCTTCCCGGACCGGGGCACGAACCCGTGTCCCCTGCATCGGCAGGCAGACTCAACCACTGTGCCACCAGGGAAGCCCCTTTGTTCCTGATCTTAGAAGAAATGGATTCAGTCTTTCAACATTGAGAATGATGTTGGCTGTGGGTTTGTCATATATGACCTTTATTATGTTGAGGTAGGGTCCCTCTGTGCCTACTTTCTGGAGAGTTTTTATCATAAATGGGTGTTGAATTTTGTCAAAAGCTTTTTCTGCATCTATTGACATTATCATATGGTTTTTATCCTTCAATTTGTTAATATGGTGTAGTACATTGATTTGCATATATTGAAGAATTCTTGCATTCCTGGGATAAATCCCACTTCATCATGGTGTATGATCCTTTTAATGTGCTGTTGGATTCTGTTTGCTAGTATTTTGTTGAGGATTTTTGCATCTGTGTTTATCAGGGATATCGGCCTGTAGTTTTCTTTTTTTGTGACATCTTCATCTGGTTTTGGTATCAGGGTGATGGTGGCCTCGTAGAATGAGTTTGGGAGTGTTCCTCCCTTTGCTATATTTTGGAAGAGTTTGAGAAGGATAGGTGTTAGCGCTTCTCTAAATGTTTGATAGAATTCACCTGTGAAGCCATCTGGTCCTGGGCTTTTGTTTGTTGGAAGATTTTTTAATCACAGTTTCAATTTCAGTGCTTGTGATTGGTCTTTTCATATTTTCTATTTCTTCCTGGTTCAGTCTCGGAAGTCTATTTCTAAGAATTTGTCCATTTCTTCCAGGTTGTCCATTTTATTGACATATAGTTGCTTGTAGTAATCTCTCATGACCTTTTGAATTTCTGCAGTGTTACTTCTCCGTTTTCATTTCTAATTCTGTTGATTTGAGTCTTCTCCCTTTTTTTCTTGATGAGTTTGTCTAATGGTTTATCAATTTTGTCTTCTCAAAGAACAAGCTTTTAGTTTTATTGATCTTTGCTATTGTTTCCTTCATTTCTTTTTCATTTATTTCTGATCTGATCTTTTTTGTTTTTTTTGCGGTTGTGGCCTCTCCTGTTGCGGAGCACAGGCTCCAGACGTGCAGGCTCAGCGGCCGTGGCTCACAGTCCCAGCCGCTCCGCGGCATGTGGAATCTTCCCAGACCGGGGCACAAACCCATGTCCCCTGCATCGGCAGGCGGACTCTCAACCACTGCACCACCAGGGAAGCCCTAGCTACTCATTTTGATGTGTGATTATTTCATTTTTCTAAAACTCATAATACATTCTAATTCATTAGCTCTAAGTCTTAATTTATCAAAAGCATATGATTTTTTTTT